AACATAATGAAAATCGACCCCAAATTCTAACTTAAAAAATCTGGAAATCGCGGCCCTCGCGGCCCGCGGAGGATCTCGCGGGCCGCGGCGAAGAAACTTCCGCGGGCCGCGACAGAGTCCGAGGCCGCGACCAACTTCAGGCTGGAGGAGGGATTCTGCGGCACTTTGTTCGCCGCGGCCGCGGCGAAGGACAGGTCGCGGGCCGCGGCGACTAAAACTGGGCACTTGAAGGATTTGCTCACCGCGGTCGCGGGAACAACGTCGCGGGCCGCGGTGAACGATTTCGGTGGTCCGGCTGTGATTTCCGGCTCGAGTCTGCGCATCTGGGCTCGGAATTAGATTCCGTCTTTCCCACTCGACCCCAACTCATCCATCTATGTAGTAGTCCACGCTTGGTTATTTCTCGAACGATTCAACCTGCACACCACCAACAAGAAACGAACGGAGAAACCGGAGAAAAGAAACAAAAAGACCAAAAACGAACAAAACAAGGGAAGTGAAAGACGAGACTCAAAATGGACCAAAAGCCAAAAAGAAATACCTAGAGTGGGGAGAAATAAACATAAAATAAACACGAAAACACTAACAAAAATGGAACGAACAGCAACCATTCTTGATCCACGTCACAAAATGCATTGGGTGAACTTCATGATCAACCGTGTGTATAAAGAAAGTGATGCAAAGGAGCTGCTTAAGAAGATTGAGGGTGTTTTGAAAATGATGTTTGAAGAGTACAATTCCACATCACTATCTGGTGCAGCAGCGGATTCCTCGTCTACTCAGACTCGGTCTAATATCATTGATGATGTTGTCCACATTGATGATTTTGAGAGAATGTTGCAAAGAGAAATGGAAGAATTTGAAGCCGTTGAAGTTCATGGTGTGTTAAAGTCTGAATTGGATAAATATTTGGATGACGAATGTGAAAAGATGACTCAAGTGAGCTTTGATATTCTGTACTGGTGGAAGACAACAGGATCGAAGTATCTAACTCTTTCTCGCATGGCTAGAGATGTGTTGGCCATCCCAGCATCCACGGTTGCATCGGAATCTGCATTTAGCACGGGCGGTCGTGTTGTTGATCACTTTCGTAGTTCTTTAACTCCCAAATTGATTGAAGCACTTATATGCACACAAGATTGGATTCGAAAAGGTAATCCACCCATTTTTGAAGAAAAGGAATTTGAAGATCTTGAGAAATTAGAAGAAGGTATGTATTATTTCTATCTTTTCATTAACAGATATGTTTAATAAATACTAGTAAAGTGCACGTGCGATGCACGTGGTGTCGAATGATTTTCGCGGAGTAAGTTTGTAAAATAAATTAATTAATTTATTAAACATATCATTGCATAAATAAAGTAAAATATAGAAAAAATGAACTCATATGTGATTTTTTTTATTTAGAATTAACATAATGATGTCCTCATATAAAAATAGTGAAATAACGTTTTACAAACCCCAACAAAAATATATACAAAAAAACAAATTCCTAATAAAAAAAACACGAATTTTCTTTCATTTTAGTTTTAACGTTCTCATAAGAACATTCATAGTCGTTGGAGTCCAATACATTAATACTATTGCAAAATTCCTCTTAATTAATTTGGCAAAACGCCAATTTTATTCAAACACTTAAGAAACATTCTGACCTAACATATAGTCAAACTTCATGATCGTATGATCTTTATAACAAGGTACTTCTACTAACAAAGGATAAATATCTCTATGAATAACTAACAGTGTCACTAAAATTGTTGATATTTTTTTATCTCTGTATAAACTACTACATTCCTATATCTCTAGATATATTG